ATTGACCAATGGTACTCCCTCAAGTCCATCGGTTTGACCCTTGTGACATGTTGATCATGTTGGAACAGTCTTGAATGTCCAAAAACACACCACTAAAATGACAACAGCACCAACAAGAACAACTGCAACAGCAACAGCCGCAACAAACGAGGTCAAATGGTTCCACTTCTTTGAACGTTTTGGCACGCACTACGTCAAAAAGGTCTCCTATGGAGGTGTCATGCGCATGTCGCTGTTTCTGAAGTCGTCTGTGAAGGAGGATGCCAGGATCAAGAAACTTGGTGCCGGTGATCCAGAGTGATTTTGTGAGTTTTACCAACGAAATGGAACATAGGGATTGAACTAACTATAGCCAACTAAACAGGCTGGTGATTCCATTTTTTTCATGCCCCTAAAAGCTTGGGATGACGACCTTTACTTATGTATTTTGGTATGGGATGGAGCGGCCAACCAGGCAAGACAACTGGAAGTTTTACCTGCAAATGACGTTTGCGAAGCTAGCTGGTATCAAGTTCCCTTTCGGCCCTGGGCATTCAGAAGAAGAGTTTGAAGCATTCCATCACTATACGCTCAATCAGCACTTTTTCGCCAAGGGCGGCAATGAGAGCGAATCTACTTCGTGGGTTCATTCAGTGTTTGTTTTCGTCCCAGCAATGAAATGATGATCGCAAGTGGCTGTTTTCTGAAGGAACCACCTTATATTTTGAAGGAAATACATCACATGGTTTCCCGCAATTGTTTCTTCAAACAAATCCAGTAAAAGCACCAGGAACTGGATTACGCGAAGTGGTTGGTGACGCTGAAAGCCAAGCCCGCCCCAGTTCAAACTCAGCTGGGTTCCATCGAGGACTTCTTCAACAATTCTATCTCTTTCAGACGCATCTCGCGAAGTTGACAATTAGCGTCATGTTGCTTTCATGACTGTAGAGTTATTTGTTGATTATGGCTTACAGAGCCCGCCCGCATACACTTACAGTATTGGATGTTATATAATTCTATACTGTGTATGTGTATAACATTTGTATATGTAATACAAAAATATATGCAACATGTATGTTTTATATAATATGTATGTACTCGGTACTCGCATACGTATGCACACTTACCCATACTTACCGACTGACATGTACATACAAACTTTCTCTGCTTGAATCGACGTGTTTGAGAACCAATTGGACCAACTGGCTCAACCTCGCTTTGGCAATTGCCATAAACAGAGGAAGAATGTACCCAGCTGTCGCTAGATCAGACCACCTACTTGGAGTAACTGCTTAGGAAGTGAGGCTGCAAGCCACTTACACAAGCTACTGTACACATTCAATCACTCCACTTGGGAGATTTCTGATCACTTGGGTTTTTGACGGTAACGAGTTTGAATATGTGTGATGTTCCAAGATCAGCCCAGGCATCCTCAAGAAGTACATGGCAAGTTGCCCAAGCAGTGAGACCTTGGGGGTGTGCAATGGCTACGGCGTTTGTGACTTTGCCAAGCACAGCTGTGAGTGCAATGCCATCGGTGCATACAAAGAAAAGGACGGGAATTGCTATCCCACCTGTCTCTTGCTGCAAAATTGGCATTGGTTTTGTTTGGTTTCCTCTATTTATGTGCTCTCAGATGATGATATTGGCAGTGCATTGGCAGCTTGTTTTTTTGGTGCTCTCCTACATGTCTATGCAGAATCCATGTATGCGTATGAGGAGTGTCTGGGATGTGACAGAACCAGGGCCCGACGTTGGTTGGAGAAAAGACCCGTCAGACTGAGCCGCATCATATTTCAGTTCAGCTATTCGTATGTCTCAAGAATCGATTGATCCACATGTTTTTGGTCATTTTATGCATTTTAAAATCATCGCATTGGCTGGGTTTCAACTCTTTGCAGTGGCATTCAGGTGAAAATAACTGCAGTGGCCACGGTGAATGCAAAAATGGTTTGTGCCACTGCCACTTCGACACCAAGGCGATCGGAAGGGCAGCACCACAAGCCTTGGGCTTTTTTGGAGGTAAAAATTGGTGCAGAGATGGGGTGTACCAATAGAATATAACCCCGCCGTAGCAATTTAGATATATCATATCGACATATTATATTTAGATTATTTAAATATATGGAGAAAATGAGAGTGACCATGCATTTCAGTGTTCGTGTTTTTTTGGACGCAAATTTGTGTGGCAAATTTGGTCTCATTCCCGGAAGCCTCACTGTCTTTCGTGGCTCCTTCGAGGTTGACCGGGACATGAGAATTTGCGTGCTGTTAAAGCTGAGCGTTTCAGGTGTTATCATGCTGAATCAGGTTAAAACAATGGGCTTTCACCGGTCAAATCAAACGTCGGTTGGCTTAGTGTTCTGGTGAATTTGATTTATAGATTCTGCTTATTTTTGTGGGAACTAAATTAATCCAATGGGTATTCTACCAAAGCAAAGGGGTCGTTGTGTATCACAGAGATTCTGATGATGATGATGATGATCGAACATCATCCATTGATATCCATTGTTTAGAATTCATGCATTATATATATATAACTATATATATATATATATATAGATACATCGATATATGATGTATGTGTCATGTTGAAAACTTGGGTGAATTGCTCATGTTGGGGGATGGTCATCAATCCATTAATGGCAATTTATACAGCTGGATCCATTGGGGACATCCTGGATGGGGGAGATCTGTAACCACCGGCCAAAGTTATAGGTACTAATATACCATAGATTCGATGGAGCGTATGGGCATCTAAAGCCATGTCAGCAGTGTTCAAAAACATGTTGATTGAGGATTCTATGGGGTTGTACTATCCAATATAGCCAATTCTCGCAATCCATGATGGATAATTCATTCTATGAAACAACCAGGATAAAAGGGACGACCGCCAGGTCAACATGGGCTTTATGAGCACTGAGGGTCAGCCTCCTTGCTCCACTCCATGTGGATCCAAGATCTTTGATGCCGGGGAAAGTCATGTTTGGTGTGGCTTGTCAAAGAAAAGAAACAGGGAAACACGGGTTTTCAAGCTATTGGTCTTTTGTGCATGTTTTTTTCAACCCTGGTGAATCTGTATTTTTGGGGGGAATCTTGATGGTAAATTTTAAATGGCTTGGGGATGAGGTCATCTGACTTAGAGAAGGATTTCCTGCTAGAGTACTGTACTGCATCCTTCAACCAATTCTGCAGTGATTGAAAATGATGAACCATCCAATACTGCAAATCATGTGCTGTCCAAATATTGGGTGCCTGCACGCTGCAAGCCCCATATGTTTTTGGCGTTGCAGTATTCCCACTGTCGCTGGTCCTGGTACTACAGGAGCTTTGGTCAGCTCAACATGTTTAGACCACCATTTTTTTGAATGTTGGTGATTGATTTTTTCATGGCTCATCTAAGCTACACTGCAAACAAGGTACTGTAATCTTCTTTATTGCTTGGATTTGCTTGGCATATGTGGGTAAACAATCATCGCCAACCCTGGCCAACATAGCAAAAGATAAAACAGTATAACATAATATACATAGATGCCCTTCACATTAAAAGATACTATTAAATTTAGATTCATGTTGGTTCTCCATGAAGAAAGTTGTGAAAGTTCAACAGTATCAACTCACCAACCATTGGCGGAAGCTAAGCTGTGGTCGAGGAAGCACACGATTTCCGCCACCCTTCGGTAAACAGCTTGGCCAGCTGGAGAATCTCCGTTTGATGATGTTCCATAAACAGCTCCATCTATAGGATATATGTCCCATTCAAATCTCCATATCTAAAGATGATTTTCCCATATTTTCCTATGTTTTCCTATGATTTCGCCATTCAAAAGCTCCATTCAGCTTGCGCTTTTCAAGATGACACGTTTCACCCGTTTCTCGCGGCTTGGGCCCCAGGCATCTCAGGCAGCGTGGGAAAGAACTGCCGAGCACTGGGCCGTGACGCTCGGTGTTGATAAAGATACGAATGGTGGATCATCCCACGTTTTTTGTGTTTGTGGGTTATATAACATTGGGAATTCACCATTAAAAGTTGTGGTTTGATGGGGATTTCCATGGGATTTAAGCCATGTTTGTGGGTTATATAGTTCACTAACCACAGTGAAATATATAAGTAAGTGTGTAGTAACTCTACAACAATCCCATGCAAATTTCACTGACGTTTTTGCTAAGCCACAAACACGATTCGTGGGATGACCCAGCAAGTAAGTAGAACTTGATAAAACACAGATACTAAACACATGGTAGATTACTAGGTCAATCTTGGATAGACAGAATCTAATCCTTTAAGTCTTTTGGTATCAATGTGTTTATCTACGTTCACCAGCTAAGTTTTTTTTTGCAGGGTATCTTAGATTGGCCATGAAACCAGATAAAAGATAAAACATGATAAACACCAGTCTAGCACAATGATGTTCGTACAAGTTTTTGTTGCGTTTCTTTTCTGCTTAGAACTTGCTATACATAGGCGATGGTCTTCTGTATATGGGGCCGCGATTGGCCTGCGACAAACCCAAGTTGCGATCACAGTAAACAGTTTTGGTTTGTTCGTGAAAGGGCGGCAATAAAACCATGATGGTTATATTTGTGGAAAGTAGTGAGAAGACAACCTTCTATGATGTTGTTTTTCTTAAACGTTACCCGTTACTCTTCCTGCTTGGATACATGGTCTGTCTCTTTGAGTTCTATTGCCTTTTTAGGGATTCCAATGACACAAACTTCACACGAGTTGCATTGACAGGCTATAAAAATAGGGGTCCCATCCATTGATTCATGGATCATCCCAGCATTCAAGTTCCTGCCTTAATGTGTGCAAAGCCCCTGTAAAGCCTATATGTAACATAAAACAATGTTTCCAAATTCACAAAAAGTCACAGTATATCAGGCCTATATGTAATCTAACAATGTTTCCAAATTTATTTTTTAAAAAAAAATCACAGTGATATCAGTCCTTTCGGTGATTTTTGTTCACGGACAGTTGACGTATCTTTTGAGTTTTGGTGCCCTCCCCTGCCCACCTGCCGATCCAGGAAGCTGAGTCTACGAAATGCTGGTGCCGAGGACGTACCCATGAAATGTGCCGGTGGATACCAGTGAAAATACCAGTTGAAATACCAGTTGATCCACCAGTTTCTACTAGTTCATAGAGTCTTACGATACAAGTACCCTAGTTACGAAGCATCTAATCTTAGCTTCCGGATTTTTCAACATCATTTGAACATCTTTACGTTTTACTTGATTTTAGATGGTTGTTAAATAAACGCGGGCATGCATGACAAATAATCATTAGATCTCACGGCACTTCAAAGTGGACTTGGCCTTTTGATCCTACTGGGTACATGTGCGTCATGTTCAACTATATACTTGGGATGATTATCCCAGTTTGACCATAACTTATTTGGTTTCAGGTGGAGGTTTGCCAATGAACCACCAGATAGGTATGGATTCGATTCGGATACACAACCATGAGCACCAGCCATTGGGCCCATGACGTACCCGATATCATCATTATCATCATTATTGTATACTATTGTTTTGATTAAGTATAGACTATAATTAATGATAGTTATCATTGCTGTTGTTGTTGTGGTTGTTGGTTGTTGGTTGTGGGTTGTTGGTTGTTGGTTGTTGGTGTTGTTGTTGTTGTGGTTGGTGGTGGTTGTGGTTGTTGTTGTTGTTGTTGCTGTTGCTGTTGTTGTTGTTGTTTTGTTGTTGTTGTTGTTGTTTGTTGTTTGTTGTTTGTTGTTTGTTGTTTGTTGTTTGTTGTTTGTTGTTTGTTGTTTGTTGTTGTTGTCGTTGTCGTTGCTGTTGTTGTTGTTGTTGTTGTTGTTGTTGTTGTTGCTGTTGTTTTTTCTTGTCGTTGTTGTTGTTGTTGTTCTTGTTGTTGTTATTTCTGTTGTTGTTGTGGTCGTCGTCGTCGTCGTTGTTGTTGTTGCTGTTTTTGTTGGTTGTGTTTATATTTGTTTTTGTTTGTGTTATTGTTACTGTTATTGATAGTTTTTTTTATCGTGTTGACAATTAAAATTATTAGGATTTGTTGTTTTGACTATGACTATTCTACTTTACTGTACATCCACCATTATACACCCCACACTTTGGGTTTGGCAACTCCCAAAAAAAACACCCAGCTGACCTGTCAGGAGTCGTGAAGTCCTTGGAAGAGGTCTACGGAGCTTCGGCGAAACTGGTGGACTATCACAGTTCGACCTACAGCTGCGAGGACAGCTCGTCTTCCTGCGACATCTCATGGCCCGAGCTCAGGCGGCGTGGCTGTTTTAAGATGTTTAAAGTAAACCCAGCAAGATAGAAAACTGTGTATAATGTTGCCACTGATGATGTTGGGAAGAATTTGTTTTCTCTTTTTTTTTGTGTTTTACTGTTTTATTTAGTTGGTTTGTCGGAAGAATTCGGTGAGAACACTCCAATTTTCCACTGGTTAATCATCATTAAATCATCATTAATTATTTATTATCCCCTCGAAAAGAACGGAGTCTACCCCCTTGAAATGGACACCCACATGTTTTTTTGTTGTCCATCCTACCGCGGGGATGATAATCCAACACATACAAAAAATGTGGAAACTAATTTCACTCACCTCACTACCCAACCTAACCAGAAGTTGACATTTGACGGTCCGTGATGTGGAAGCATCGCCAAAAAATAGTAAAACAATGTTCTTAACCACCTCATATAAATGGATGGTTCGAATCCCACCCATTTATGTTTATTGTTTTACTAAGATGAGTTCCGATTTTATTTCTTTCAGTCTTCCCAGAGACATGGGGAAAGGTTTACCAGCAGGAAATATTGAACATGATATCACCAATAAAACATTGCATGAACACAGGAAGAAAGTTGGTATGTATATAACCAAAGCCAAAACAGAATAACATGTGTTCATGTCAGATTAAAATTGGTTTGCCACTGCAAAAGGCAAACATGTTAGCATGTACCACGTCCTTTGTTTTTTAAATAGTTTTCCTGCCGCTCGAAAGGATCGAAATCCTCACCATACGTGCAAGAATGAAGTGAATGAAGAACATACCTAACATTTGAATACATTTGATTGGAGGTTGCAAGAGGTATCTCCGCTGCCGACACCTTGCCAACTTGGGCAGGTTTACATGTCCTGCCTATCAGCAGATTCAATGCACCCAGGCTGCAGTGGGCTACCAATTACAAGTGGGCTGTAAAACTCCTCGTTTCCCTAGTTTTTGGCAGTGCAAGCTTAATCCATTTGGTAACTGGTAGTGTTCCATTCTTGCTGGGGACACTTTGGTTAGGTTGGGTAATGGGAAAATGACAACCGCATGCATACCCAGTAAACAGTTTTTATCCAATATTTCTTTGGATGATAGACCAGGTTAGCCATGAACGCAAATCCACATGGATAATCCATGATAATCCCTAATAGATCCACACGGCTGTGCAGCTTCCAAGGTACTCATGGGCAGCATTTGAGCTGCAGTCACCCCAACGCCTATCATGCAGTCGACTTTGCTGGCGAAAGTGCTGAAGTCGCCCCAGTGAATTTTTCGAAGCCCAAAAGCGTGATTGTGTAGCAGGGGCTTTGCGGCTGTCCCATTTGGCTGTCCCATTTGAACATCAACCATTTAAGGTCTGTCTGAAAATAGGGACACCCCTTTCAACGAAGTATGAATAAATTATGAGTATACACTTTCAAAATTGCTATTTTGATGGTATACCCTATTTTCAGACAAACCCATTTGAGTTTACAATCACGATTTTATGGGACATTTGCCAAGCCTTGTGGCAGAAGGAATTTGATGCAGAGCCATATGTTGTACCCAGTACATACCAGTACTGTATCAATACTTGAAGTGCTGTGCAATGTCTTGTGCACCTGTCTATTTGTTTAAGTAGAATTAACGAATTTACTTGAGGGTTCTTGAGTCACAATGAGGTTATGATTTGGTGATGGTCGGAATTAGGGTACAGCGTCAAGTGGTCCACAGTCAAAACATTGGCTGTTGTAGTAGTTATAGATTCTTTAGAGGCCTACGCGAACAGAGGTCAAACAGTTGTGAAAAAAAGTGGCAACAGCACCACTGAAACGATCTTCGCGGCAAGGGACATTTGGTTACAAGATGTTACAAGGGAGTTCTGGAAGAAGGAACTTATTGACAGAGTTTATCAACAACTTGCAGTACGTTTCCTTGGAAGAACCTCCAAGAACCTCCAAAAAACCCTGGCCAAAGACATCACTGAGATGCCAATCTTTGGACGATAATCCTGCAGCCAATTTCTGGGATGATATCACATCTATTTCCGTTGATTTGATTCTTACTTACTCACCTACAGCTGCCAAGTGGGAATGATCTCCCTGTACGATGACCGAATCTGAAACGTGTTTGGGTTTGGAAGCACTTGAATTACCCTTTGTGGTTTCAAATTCAGCATGCACTCATCTGAAAATGGGTTTATTATGTTTTATTTCAGATCCGGCAACTTGTCACTTCGCCCAAAGAAGGAGGAATGCCTCAGGCTGGGTGAATAAGTCTAGATAGTTGTTGTTGATTATGTTCCTCCCCATGCATCCTCATATATCCTCATGCTGCAACAAAAATCAGGGCAGATCAAGGCATGTTTGCTTCTTCATGACATCATGATTAGGAGATACGCTCGGTTCCGTGTTAAGGGACATGGGTGTGTAGCTGGCCGAGCGTTTTCTGAACACCTAAGACTTGGAGATACAGTAATCAAGCTATGACTTTGGATGATTCATCATGATTTTGCTACATGTTGCTACTATGGTTCAGATTGCTAGCCTGTAATTCAGATATTATGATGATTTTATATTTATACAAGCCAAGTATGTCTGGCCATTTGTGTTCATTGGTACAAAATGGATTCAAATGGAAAAACAAGTAGGAGCGGTTTTGAAGGCATCTACCTTAGATATATTTAGATATGATGGAATACTCACATATACTGACACATTTTGGTACTAGTCACAGGTAGCCTCCTCCAAACTAAGATGTGGAGAACCATTTGTAGATTATTTTCCGGAACCGGAACCCAATGGCTTTTTCTACATCTACGTAAACGTTTATCTCATCAAAGCTGAGGTTCCGCAATGCTGGCAGCCACTCTCAGCTTCCTTGGTCCCTTGGACCATGCGGAGCGTCAGACGTGGCTCAGCAGGCGGGGGTAAGGATAAAATCCCTAGAAAGTACCAAAGACCGTCCCTGAATAAACCTTTTCAGAATTCTTATCACGAAAGCTAGCGTCAGCTAGCTGGAGTCTTCTTGCTTTAGCAAGTATTCCGGGGGCTGCTCAAGGACATCACGTGATTTTTCAGGCGAAAGGGCCCCCCCCCCCCCCCCCCACCACCACCACCACCACCACCACCACCACATCCATCATCATCATCATCATCATCATCATCGTTATTCAATTACATTTTATCATTATTGGCAATTATTGGCATTATCACGAAAGCTAGCGTCAGCTCGCTAGAGTCTTCTTGCTTTAGCAAGTATTCCGGGGCTCCCCAAGGACATCACGTGATTTTTCACGCGAAAGGCCCCCCCCTGCCCCCTCCCCCATATATATCATTGTTATATATCATATATCATATATCATTGTTGCATCCTCGTTGGGGCGAACAATGCCGCGACACGATGATGACAGTCCCTCCGCAACTCACCTCTTCCCTTCCTTCTTTCTCCTACCCTGCTAGCTTTCGTCATCCACCCCCGGCCTCAAGTATCCATTTATATCCCATATTATTTCATCATGTAAATACTAATTAATTATTTACATATCATTAATTATTATTATATATATAATTATAATTAATTATATTTATATATATATATATACATCACTTATTATACCCCTACAGGACATCCCACCATCCGAATGGTCCCTCTTTTTAAGGCCCGGCCACCGGCCACCGAGCTCCGCAGGCTCTCCGAGCTGCTGGGCGCTTCCAGTTGCGTCGCCTCGGTGGTCACCTGTCCGGTGCCGCTGAGCTCCTGCGCGGAGCTCGAGGCGGAGCTGGCCACAGAGGCCGGAACCGGAGGTCGGGATGATGGACAGATGTGGTTTGGTTCGATGTTTTTTTTGGTGGTTCTTATGATTGAGGATGTTTTTTTTGAATTTGGGAGTGTTTTTTTGTGGTTTGACGGAAGTTTTTGTTGATTGATGGGAGGTTTTAGGGGATTATTTTAGTGATGTTTGGTGAATTTTCTGGGTGGGTTTCTGGGTTTGATTTTGTTTTGAATTTTGGGGAAGTTTTGGGTGGACTTTTGTGGTGACTTTGGTGATGTTTTTTGTGTTGCCGGAATTTGATGCTGATTTTGGCAAATATTGGTGAGGTTTTTGCGGATTTTGGTGATTTTGGGATAAGTGTGATTGGTTTCTGCATTATTTCGCATATGTGTTTACAGTAAGAACAAAGACATTCACCAACAAGAGCAGGAGAAGTAACCAGTCAACTTGGGATTTTCAGTTTCGGCATTTAAACCCCAGTTATAAGTTGGCCAATAACCTCATCAAAGTAGTTATAGTTATAACTACCCGCTACCCTAAAGCCCAGTTATCCTAGTTATGTTCACCAACTTGGCGAAAAAAAACTGAGACACCACAGGGTTTAAAATCCTTGTTGTTCATCCCGCTTGAAGCCTTGTTGTTCCCCACATCTTTGTGTGGGGTTCTTGTTTTTGATTCTGTATCCCGGGCTCCTCCTCCGCCGCCTTCTCCTCCTCCGCCCTCCTCCACACTTTGTCACCATACACTTTGTCAACAAACACTTTCTCAACACACACTTTTTTATCACCACACACTTTGTCCAACACACACTTTATCAACAAACACTTTATCAACATACACTTTATCAACAAACACTTTATCAACATACATTTTTTTTCTCAACATACATTCAACATACACTTTATCAACAAACACTTTATCAACATACATTTTCTCAACATACATTTTCTCAACAAACACTTTGTCAACACATACTTTGTCACCACACACTTTGTCCACACACACTTTGTCCACACACACTTTGTCACCACACACTTTCTCAACAAACACTTTGTCAACACATACTTTGTCACCACACACTTTGTCCACACACACTTTGTCCACACACACTTTGTCACCACACACTTTCTCAACAAACATTTTGTCAACACATACTTTGTCACCACACACTTTCTCAACAAACACTTTGTCAACACATACTTTGTCACCACACAAACTCACATCCACCGTCACAAACTCACATCCACCTTCGTTTCACGTGGCAGGCGTGGCACAAACTCACATCTACTGTCGTTTTGCGTGGCAGGCGTGGGACAGATGGCATTGGGTGGCGCGCTTGGACGGGCTTGGGCGCCTGTGACCCCGCGGCACTTTGCGTGGCAGGCGTGGCACAAACTCACATCTACTCTCGTTTTGCGTGGCAGGCGTGGGACAGATGGCATTGGGTGGCGCGCTTGGACGGGCTTCGGCGCCTGTGACGCCGCGGCACTTTGCGTGGCAGGCGTGGCACAAACTCACATCTACTGTCGTTTCACGTGGCAGGCGTGGCACAAACGCACATCTACTGTCGTTTTGCGTGGCAGGCGTGGGACAGATGGCATTGGGTGGCGCGCTTGGACGGGCTTGGGCGCCTGTGACGCCGCGGCACGTTGTGTGGCAGGCGTGGCACAAACTCACATCTACTGTCGTTTCACGTGGCAGGCGTGGCACAAACGCACATCTACTGTCGTTTTGCGTGGCAGGCGTGGGACAGATGGCATTGGGTGGCGCGCTTGGACGGGCTTGGGCGCCTGTGACGCCGCGGCACGTTGTGTGGCAGGCGTGGCACGAACGTTCACCTACTGTCGTTTTGGGCGGGCGCTGTGACCGCCGCGGCACTTGTGCGTGGCAGGCGTGGCACAAACTCACATCTACTGTCGGTTTGCGTGGCAGGCGTGGGACAGATGGCATTGGGTGGCGCGCTTGGACGGGCTTGGGCGCCTGTGACGCCGCGGCACTTTGCGTGGCAGGCGTGGCACAAACTCACATCTACTGTCGTTTCACGTGGCAGGCGTGTCACAAACTCACATCTACTCTCGTTTTGCGTGGCAGGCGTGGGACAGATGGCATTGGGTGGCGCGCTTGGACGGGCTTGGGCGCCTGTGACGCCGCGGCACTTTGCGTGGCAGGCGAGGCACAAACTCACATCTACTGTCGTTTCACGTGGCAGGCGTGGCACACTTGGCGTGGGCATGCGTGGCACAACCTCACATCCTACTGTCGGTTTCACGTGTCAGGCGTGGCAAAACCAACTCACTCACTCTCTTTGCGTGGCAAAGAGGGTGGGGGACAGATGGCATTGGGTGGCGCGCTTGGACGGGCTTGGGCGCTTGTGACGCCGCGGCACTTTGTGTGGCAGGCGTGGCACAAACTCACATCTACTCTCGTTTTGCGTGGCAGGCGTGGCACAAACTCACATCTACTGTCGTTTCACGTGGCAGGCGTGGCACAAACGCACATCTGATGGCATTCCCAGAGTGCGCCTTATTGAAAAGATTCAACAGAAAACGCATATTTCAACAGTGAAGTCTTGTTTCAACAGAAACACAAAAAGCTGTTGAAATAGAAAGGTGCATTTTTTTTAAGCCTTGTTGAAAAAACCAACAGAGCCCTTATTGTTTTTTTCAACAGGATCCTGTTGGTTTAGAATGTATGAATCTGAAGAAAATGAACAGCTTTTTCAGAAACATGTGGCCAGCATGTGGTGCCACTTCCTGAGACAGCTGCTTCCTTTTTCAAGGGCACAATGAGGCAAAGTCAGGGTGATAGCCCTTTTGCAGGACCATAGACAGCCCTTTTGCAGGACAGATGCAGCCCTTTTGCAGGACTCACAGTTCCTCTTCAGAATCCACCAGGTCAAAGTCACCATGTGTCACCCTCAGGTGCAGTCCCAATCTATGTCTCCAGGCAACCTTTGCAGGCACCAAATGTGGAGGAGTGCCATTGAGGCAGGCGTGCCCAAGAGAGGCCATGAAGCCCACCATTGTTTCACCAGAGTATGTTGACACAAACCTGCAGTTCAAGTGCCTAAATTGTTCTGGCATATGGCAAGCCAAGTGGTGCTTGTGCACAGTGTTCCATTGAAGAATGTTCTGAGAGATTGCAATCTTGGCAAGCTTGCTGTAATGGAGTAAACATTTCTCTGTGCTCCTCTTGTACTGCTCATATGCTGACTCATCAGGATGCAGCCCCTGGCACTCCATAGCTTCATACATTTGGTTGAGGTTCTTGATGCACTCAAGCCTGTGCTTTTTGTAAGAGCTCTCATCGACCAAATCCTGGCTGAGTTCCAGGAGTGGAGGGATGAGGTGTCTCACCTGTTTTGCTTTCACACCTGAGAGCTCAGGAAAACTGTCCCACTTCTTGTTGGGCTGGCAGAAAGTGGACAAGTGAAGTCTTCTCACTTGGTTGCTGGAGTCTGTGGCCAGCTCAGTGTATAAGCCAGACAGTTTTCTGAAAAGTTCCTTCAGCCTGGCTTCAAAAGAGCTGCCTGGCAATTCTGCCTTCACCACCATGTCAAACATGAAGTTGGCCACAATGTGGGCTGAAACACCCAGCTCCAAGATGTGCAGAGAGTCATAGGCCAAGGTGTAGCCATTGATGCCTGGCACTGTCATGATCAGGTGATCTGTGGGGTTGCTGTCCTTATGGTTCTTGATGGTCTCACTCCATTTGGCTCCAGCTCTATAGTCATTGTGTGGGTGACTGGACCTGTTTGCCCCACAGCTCCAACAGCACTCTGCATGGGAACTTCCTGGCAGCTTGCATTCATTTTGAAAGAACTCGCCATCTGCTGTGATGGCAAAGATCATTCCACAAAGCCCTGCAGAATTCAACAAGGTTCCTGCCTTTTGGCCCCTTGCTGACTTGTGCTGCCAGTCTTTGCCATCTGCAGCTTTCTCTGGAAATTTGCCGAAGTACATATGCTGCATTGACCAGGTCAGCACTGACCAGAGGCAATGCATGGTATCTTCAGCAAGAATCTCAGATTTGTGGATTGCAGACTTTGGAAGGGCTAGGAGGAGCATCTGGCTGTGGGCTACACTGGATGAAGATAGCAGTGATCTCATGTTCAGCACCAGAATGCTATCTGCTCGCTGGAATGCCCCACCATCCCCATGAAGAATGAGGGGCAGGTACTTGCCACATCCTTCCTAGGTAAGAAGCAGGCAGGCACAAGAAAGTGGGCCAAGGCAAATGCTTGTGACAAGCAGCTGGGTGAACAAGTCTGCTGCCAAGAAGCATCCATGATTGGATTGCCATCCAATTTGGGGTCACCCATGGGATGATTCTCCCAGAATTCCTCCAGTTGCTCAAAGCCAGCAGCTTGCTCCTCTAGCTGTAGCCATGCAAACCACTCATGTGGCAAGTACAATGCCACTGGCTTGACAGCAACCACCCAGTCATCTGCAGTTCTCACACGAACAGGGGTGTCAACAAAGTAGGGCTCAGGAAGCTTGATGCTGTCTGACTTGCAATACTTGGAAATCATTTGGGAGGCTATGTGCTCAGAAGACCTCCCATAGTTCCCCAGTGAAGCCAATTGCTGCAAATCAGCAGAGTTAGCACCACTCTTGGTTGCTGCCAATGCAAGAGCTTGGACAGATGGCCCCTGAGCTTCACCATATGGTCTAAACAGGAATTACCTGCAAGCATCCTGCACAAGTTAGATGCTGCCAAGGGGCACTCATCCCTGAGGCGAAATGCTCCAACAGAGATAAGCCAAGGGGTGAGAACTCTTCTTCTTCTCTATGGGGTCCTGCAGGTTCCTGGTACTTTTTCCTCTTCCATTTAGCCATGGCTGTTGAAGCCCTTTTGCAGGACCAGTCTAAGCCCTTTCACAGGACTTATAATCCTTATGGCTGCCTGAAGAGCCAAGCAACTGCAGACACATGCCTTTTTGCAACAAGGCTTTCCAAGTCAGTGTTGCTTGTCAAAGTGTCAAGGCGGGTGTGTTTGGACAGGAAG